GGCCCAGCCCAGGGACATGTGTGGTGGTTGGGACGCTTGGCCAAAAACATGACCAGATACAAAAGCACCTCCCGGCTAACAGTCACATGTCTTTTCAACTTAGGACTCTTGCGAAGACTGCTTGAGTACATTCTGGAAGCTCTCTGGAAAGGCAGGAAATGTATTTTGAGTAATAGGAGCTTAAGCAAATTGTTGTAACTTAACATCTGGGAAAGCCATTAAATGTATCACTCAGAAATCCCTCAGTCAGCTAGTCTATGTCTCTTAAATAGAATTAACGAGATGCTTGTCCCCAGCTGTCAGGAACGACCTTTAGAGACCAGGGCCGCGTCTTTAGGGCCTTTGTCCCAGTCTCTTGAGGGCGGTGAACCCTATCCCTGGGGCCCTGAGTATAGACCGGGCCACGGGGGTTGGGTGGGGGTAGGCCACACAGCTCTGCTGCAGGGCCTGTGTGTGTCCCCTCAGCCCCGCTGGGGACTCTGGGCCCTGTAGGCTCTGGGCCTCCCTCACTCTCTATTTTCAGTTAGCCTGGGGCTTCTGCCCCCTGCACCCTCTTCTTGCTGCTGAAGTTCCCTTTCTTGGTGGTTTCCAGATTTTTCTGGTACTGCTGTAACCGAGCAGACTTGGGAGTACTGGCTTTGTCTTTGCTGAAGAGCTTGTGCTCAGTGTGAATGGTCACCGAGTTGCTGCAGGAGGAGTCAAAGCAGGTTGAAGAAAGGAGAGTGAAGGTTGCAGATATCAGGTCTCTGCTTTCTGGAAAGGGGTTGGTGTGAAGGCTGTGGCCAGCCTGGCAGGCTGAGGTGAGCGTGTGCAGAGATGCTGGTCAGGGTCAGTCTGCGGGGCTTAAGGCAAGTGCCTCCCCCACCGGCTTGTCTTCTGCCGGACCCAGAACTGCCTCAACCCTTCCGTTGCTTCGATGCACCTGCTGGGGAGGGCTGTGCTGGTGCACACTCAAGGCGCTGAGCTGGGCGGGGGTCTAGGCGCCTCCTGGGTTTGAGAAAAGTCTAAAGTTCCTTGACTCTAGCACTTAGCTATACGCAGAATGGCATCTTACATATGTTGGACAGAAATAAGAGGATCAAGCCACGGCCAGAAAGGTTCCAGAACTGCAGAGACCTGTTTGATCTGATCCTCACCTGTGAAGAGAGAGTGTACGATCAGGTGGTGGAAGGTAAGGCTGCAGACCGAGTGTGCCCGGAGTGCCTGGGCCACTTCGCCGCCCGTCACGGCCTCAGTGGCCTCCCTGGGCAGGACGTGCAGCTGCTTCCAGGGCCGGGGAAGGTGGTCAAGGCCGTAGTGAGGAGGCCCCCAACCTGCAGGGCCCACCTGAGGATGGAGGTGGGGGTGGGAGATTGTAGCCTTTGGCTGGTCATGTTCATCCATGCAAAACCACCTGTGTGTTGGCTGAGCACATAGTGCAGGTTTTAAGGTCTTTGGGGTGCATGAAGAGCATGTGTGAAACGAAGGAACCAGGGGCCTGGTACTTCGTGAGTGAAAATGCTGTTGGATGCTCTACCCCAGGACAGCCTGGCTGTTCGTGAGTGAGACCAGATGGCCGGCACATTGAGGCTGATGATCACCAGGTTTCCTTGAATCACAGCGGGCTTGGCCTGGTTGACCACCCCAGGGCCAGAGATGGGTAGAGCAGGTGCCCTGGTTCCATGGCCTCTGACCGCCGTGTCGTCCTGGTCCCGTTAGATCTGAACTCCAGAGAGCAGGAGACCTGCCAGCCAGTGCACGTGATCAACGTGGACATCCAGGACAACCACGAAGAGGCCACCCTGGGGGCGTTCCTCATCTGTGAGCTGTGCCAGTGTGTGAGTGTCCCACCCCTGCCCCACTCCTGCTCTGGCCCAAGGGTCCAGATGTGCCTGCCCTGGGGTCCCCGGGAGCAGTCTCTGCCAGAGGGACATGACCAGGACCATCTCTTCCTGACACAAAGGTTTTACCAGGAAAGGGGCTGTCATGCAGTTCAGTTCGTGTTCATGTTGGGTTATTTTCAGATGTTCAAACCCAGATCAGCACAGAGGTGCCCATCGACCACGCGGCTTTGATTTAAGAACTTGCTTCTGTGCTTTTTGTTCGGGTGATGGAAGTGCAGTGTCCTGCTCAGTGTCTGGCCCTGTGCCCACCGAGAGCTTCTGCCAAAATCCCAGTCAGGTCTAGCAGAGCCCGGGGGCCCCCAGAGCCCTGTGGATGCCATCATGTCCACTCCTGCATCCTCAGGACCTGTCGGTCCTTGGCCTTCCCCGAGTGGCCATGGGCATCCTCCTTTGTGTGGAAAACCGTAGGGGCTTTGCAGCTACTATGCGGCTATGCTCAGAGCAAAAACATTTCCTCTTAGGCCTGGCAAAAGGACCTACCCAAGGAGAGACCCATATGCCTTGTCCTGTAGGTTCCGCTCGTGAGATCTGCATTTAAGTCAGCTGACTCTGAGTGACAGAAAAATGAGTGAAACATGTGGCTTAACCAAGAAGTCCAGAGACAGGCAGGCCTGGACTGGTTTGCCACGGGAGGGGCCCGGGTCCTCCTCTCTTGTTGCGCCCAGCACAGCTCCTGTTCCCAAGATGCCTCATGGCCCAGCATGGCTGCTGAAGCTCCTGCACTTGTGCCCATGTTCTGGCCATTATGCAGGAGAAAGGGCTGAAGAGGAACACAAGTCCCGGAAGTTGCACATGTGACTTCCATTTGGGTCACTCTGACAAACGAGTTACAGAGGGGCTGCTCTTCACTTCAGAGTGGCACTGCTTACAAGCCAAGACTCAGGCCAATGAATAGCCTCAGCCGTGGTCCAGCCCATACCAGCCCTGAATCAGCCTTGAGCTGGCCACTGGCCGCACCTCCTCCTCTAAGGCAGTGGTTCTCCACCAGGGGACGTCTGGCCACATCTGCACACATCTGTGGGTCTCACAACGTGGGGGTTACGCTAGGTGCAGCACTAGGATGGAGGCCACAGATGTTCAGCCGCACTGCAGAGCCTGGGCTGGCTTTGTCACTGGGTGCCTTTGAGCAAGTGACTGCACCTTGGCAGAGTGGGGGCAGGAGGGGCCGTGAGCTTCCATAGTTGATGTACGGGGGGCATCCGAGGGCAGGCCTGGCTGCAGGCTCTCTGCCTCCCTTCCCTGGTGGGACTGCCCCCAACCCTCTGTCCTCAGGCACCGGCCTGGGGTGGGTGGGAATGAGTCTGCAGAGCGGAGGACAGCACAAGCTCAGCAGGTGTTGCTCTCGCTTCTGCTGGGGGCGGGGCTGGGGCCGGGGCTCAGGGCGGCCTGTGGCTCTCCCCAGATTCAGCACACAGAGGACATGGAGAACGAGATTGATGAGCTGCTTCAGGAGTTTGAGGAGAAGAGCGGCAGAGCCTTCCTGCACACGGTCTGCTTCTACTGACCCACCTGGCCGGGCACCCGGTGCGCCACCCACCCTCCTGAAGCTGTCTTTTTGAGCTTCCTTTTGTTAATACTTTTTCCTTCCTGATAATTTGTTTTTACTTTTGGGTATTCTGCCGGCCACGGCAGTGGTACCCAATAAACTGTGCATAGGAAATGCGAGGACACACAGATGCCAGATTCAAAACAATCACGTTTTCTCCCTCCCGCTTTTACTTACGAGTGGGATGTTGATTATAAAGGTTTTTTTTTTTCCTTTACCCAGAAAAGTAAACTACGGTTTATGGTACATTTCGCCCATGCATTTGTGGCTTTCATTGTGGTCCCTTCCCCTCTGCCCCCCAAACTTGCTGGAATGTACAAACAACCTGAATAAAGCAATGGGCTTTATCTTGCTAGGAAAGAACCTGCAGTTGTCCAATAAATCCATGTTGCTGGTCGTCTTTGCTTTGTCCTGAGTCCCCACCTGGCCTGCTCCTGCCCACCTGGCACAGGTCCCTCTGGAGGGACTCCTGGGTCTGACCCTGTGACTCAGACTGCTTCTGAGGTTGGGGGGTTGGGGGCACCAGGGCCTGTGGGGCAGCCCAACTTCCTAGCAGGATCCTGAGGTCCTGCTACCCACAGGGACTGCTGGAAAAATGGAACGCTTCTCCCTGTGGCACCTTCTCCTGGGGCTGAGATCCGTTGTCCCCCAAGTAGTCTTACTTCCCCACGACCCCTCCTGACCCATAGCTGTGGAAAACCTCAGGTCCCCGTGGGGAAGTGTCGGGGACTCCCGCGCAGGCGGTGCTGTCTTGGGGCTGTGGGTGACAGCTTGGCCCAGGGACTTCCCCAGGCTCCCAGGATCATGGGGCAGCCTTCGGAGAACCATGGACAGTGGCCTGGGCTTCCAGGCTGCCCAGTCCCGGTGCCTGGGGCTGACCCCAAAGGGAAGATGGAACTGAGGCTGGCCTTGCCACCACTGTGGGGCATCCTTTGTTTTTGCTGGACCATGTGGCCATGGCTTGGGAGTGACCTCCCTGGCAGCTCCCCAGCGGCCCTGCAGGGCCCTCCGCTAAAGGCAGGCACTTCCTGGAGGAAGCCGGGTGCCAACCAACGTGCCGGCGGCCCCGAGGCCCAGGAGGAGGGTCTGGGGACGAACCCCAGTGCCCTCTCCTGGACCGCTCGGTCTGGTCGGGACGTGGCCCCGGGGTCCAGGGGCGCTGGGCAGGCAACCAGGGTTGGGACGGGCCCGATGGGGACGAGAGCCCGCCCTGCGGCCCCCGGGGAGGGGTCCGGCCGGCAACGCGGCGCGGGGCGGGGCCCGCGGGCGGGCGGCGCGGCCCCTCCCGGGAGGCGGGCGCGGAGGGCGGGCAGGCAGCGGAGGCCGGAGCGGCGCCCAGCGCGCGGAGGGAGGAGGCCGAGGGCGGAGCGGAGCGCGCGGGCGCGGCAAGCGCGGCGGCCCGGCGGCCGAGCGACCCCGGGAGCGGCGGCGTCTTCTGCCCGCCCCGCCCCGTGCCTCCTCCCCGGCGGGTGCGCGGCGGGCTGACCTCTGCGGAGGCGGCGGGGGCCCAGCATCGGGCCGGGGCCGGGGGGGCGCCGGGGCCGGGGGGCGGCGCTCCGGCCCGGCCCGGCCCCGCCCGATGTCCATGAGCGCGAACACCATGATCTTCATGATTCTGGGGGCGTCGATCGTGATGGTGAGCGGAGGGGCTTCCCGTGCGCCCGCGCCCGCCTCCCGCGCCCGCGCGCCGCCTCCCCCACCTCCCGCGCCTTGTTTACCGGCCCGCGCGGCCTGCGCTCCCCATCCCCGGGGTGCCCCGCGCTCCCCATCCCCGGCCTGCGCTTCCCATCCCTGGCTGCCCCGCGCTCCCCATCCCCGGGCTGCGCTCCCCATCCCCGGGCTGCGCTCCCCATCTCCGGGCTGTGCTCCCCGTCTCCCGGCAGCGCCGAGCTCCCCATCCTTGGCCTGCGCTTCCCATCTCGACTGCCCTGAGCTCCCCGACTGTGGGGTTGCCCCGGGCACCCCTATCCCAGGGCTGCGCTCCACCACCCCCAGCGCGCCGCCCCCCACACCCCACCCCACGCCCCGGGGCCCCGGCCAGGCCCGCTTCTCGGCGCTGACCGGTCATGGGCTCTTCCAGGCCATCGCGTGCTTGATGGACATGAACGCACTGCTGGACCGATTCCACAACTACATCCTCCCGCACCTGCGGGGCGAGGACCGCGTCTGCCACTGCAACTGTGGCCGGTGAGTCCGCGCCCGGTGGGGCACACGCGTGATCACACATGTGCGGCGGCGGGGCCCACTGGGGCGCAAGCAAGCCCCAGGCAGGCCTGGCTGCAGGACTGCGCTAGGCCCGTGGGGGGACTGCCCAGCCTCCGCTGGGCACCTGGGGATTGGCCAATCGGGTTTCAGGAGGGGGAGCATGCCTGAGTAGTTAGGACCCCCTCCCAAAATGCCTTTAGAGAAAGGGCCTGTGCCAGGGTGATGGGCAGAATGGGTCCCAGGCCTCCTGATCCAGGGCCTGGAGGCCAGGAGAGCCACAGCCCAGCCCTGTGTGTCAGGAGGGATCCTGCGCACGGCTGTGCCCACAGAGTACACAGTCCTTCCTGGGCCCTGCACTAATGTTCATGAACTTTCCTGCAAGCCAGGTACAGGGAAGTGCAGAAGGTCAAGGTGGGCAGAGCCTACCTCGAGGGGCATCTGGTCCAGCCCTGTCATTGCACAGAGGAGGAACTGAGGCAAAGCTGGGTGTGGCTTGCTCAAGGTCATTCAGAGAGCCGTGGGAGAACCCAGACCCCCTACATCCACTGTGTGAACGCCCCCATTCTGTGCACGTGTAGTGACGGAGTCTTCCTGGCCATGCATGTTTGTACGTCCATGTACAAAATAAACCTCTTCTCATGAGACGCGCATATGTGTACTGTCTGCGTATACATGTGCGTACACATGGCACACACATCCGCATGCACACCATCTCCGCAGGAAGCCCTCATGCTGGGGCCAAAGAGAAAGCAGAAAGACGCTTGGGTGGATAGAGACTTGCCCAAGGTCACACAGCTAGTAAGGGACTGGGGGCCAAGCCCGGAAGCTGTGTTCCTCAACCCTGTCCTGTATTTCTGCCCCAGGGACACGTGTGCACACACTGTGGGTGGGGGTATGTGTAGGAGAGACAGGGCAGTTACGTGCCATGGGTACCGAGCGGCGTATGGAAGCAGAACCCAGACGTTAGGGAAGGTAGTAGAGAGGGAGTGTAATGACCCTCGCATGTGCTGTCCCAAGAACCATCGAAAGATTTGCTGGGTGCGGGGGTGGGGGTGGGGGCGGTGGGGCACTCTTTCCCAGAGATTCCTGTGTTCGTTCCTGGTGCACAGAGCCCCAAACTAAGGAAAGGCACAAGGTCAGCCCCATGGCCACCTGGGACAGCCATGACTATGAGCAGGTTAAACCGGGGTGGCCCCGAGACTCGCCCGGAGGCTGGCAGCGTGTCCCGTAAACATGAGAAATGCACATTTTACATGTGTGTGGGCTGTTGTGTCATGACCAGCATGTATGTGCCTGTGACCTCACACCAAGGACCCATCTGGGCAGACAGGGGGTGCTTCCAGCGTGTGTTTGCCCAGGATGCGTGTATGCGTCATCTGTAGCATCCAGAGTCCATGTGGACTCAGCTAGGACGCTCGCGCACAGGGTGCCGGCTGAAGCTAGTCCTGTGTGCGCAGGTTAGCTCATCTGTGGACGCAGAAAACCCGGAGAGCCGCCCCTGCTGCAGATGTAGAGCTTCTGGGTGTGTGTGTCCATATCACTTCATAGAGGATACGTGGATTCAGTGTACAACGTATCCTTACACATCGACAACATACATGTGTATGCGCAGCACCCAGACAGCAAAGAGTGCGCTCCGTGTGGGCACAGCGAGTGTGTCTGCAGAGAACAGTGTTGCACATGCAGTATCCGTGTGTAAGCCATGTACACAAGTTGCCGCAAGCGGCTCTATCCATGTGTGCATACACCATGTGGAGCCTGCACATGTGTATGCCTCCGACATGCCTCTGTGGAGAATTCTGTGCAGAGGACACGTATGTAGATGAGTGCTCCTAAGTATACGTGCCGGCAGGCAGTGTCTGTGTTACACCGGGGACGGCTAGGTGCATGTGCATCCGCATGTGACGCGCGCCACGCTCGTGCCTGGGCAAGCATGCACATGCACACATGTGGAGCTCGTGGACCCGAGTCCATGGTATACACGCCACGTCTTGTGCATGTGGCCGGCGTGTATACACAACATGCATCGGACCTCAGGTAGGCACATGCAGCATGCGTGGCCCAGGCAAGACTCGTGTATGTACACATCATGAAAGTCCGTGTGCACATGTGAGACCTGAGCCCCTGCCCCCAGAGGCCTGACTTGGAGAAGGAGGAGCGTGAGGGGCAGCGAGGAGCTGCAGATGCCATGCCAGGGAAGGGGGCACAGGTTGTGACCTCTGACCCTCTGGAGGTCCTGAGCCGCCAGGGGTGGTTGGGGCCCTGGCCTCACCCTGCTTGCAGGGCACCAGGCACATTTCTGGCTTCTTTGGCAGCCTGATCTTCAAGTTCCCTACCTTGACCAGCTGTGTGTCCAGGGGCAGGAAGCAGCAGTCCTGAGGAAGGCCCTGTCAGGGGTCCTCGGCCCAGAAGGCTGGGTAAAGCAGGAGGGGACAGTGATGCTCTGTGTCAGCAGCCCCTGTGTGGCCTGCCTGGCCTGGTGCACCCCAGGTGATGGGGACCTTGAACGGGTCATGAATGGCGTCTGCTCCTGGGGAACCTGCAGCTGCTGCTCGTTCTGGGTGGTGATTAATAGTTTTCCACCACTTATTGGTGACTGACAATAGCTACTGACAAACTGATCAGTAAGCGTGGCTGCCACGTATCAGGCCGTCCTCGCTACTGACTCAGGGCTGGCTGGTGGCCTCCGAGCCATGGGGCTGTGGCCAAGGCCCCACCACTGGGACTGGTCACACTCTGGACATGCTGAGCAGGATGGCCTCCATAGTTCCCAGAAGGAACAGGAGGGGTGTGAGGCGAGGCCTGCCTGCCGCCATCCCTGACGGGCTCCTACTGGGAGGAAGACGCTGTGTGGACCCCGCTGGTGCAGGGACATCGGTAGGGAAGGAACAGCAGGGAATCAGGGAGGAGTAGTGGGGTTTCCGTATTTGAGACGGTCCCTGTGGGGGAGTGTGAAACATGGCCAGTTGCGAGGTTGGGGCGTGGGGGTAGGGACCTATCTCAGCTGAACACCAGGCGGAGGTGCCAGCGTCTAACTGAGGGGAAGATGGGGAGAAGCAGTTTTGGGGAGGGAGGAGCTATTTTTAGGTATGAGTTTGAGGTGTCTGTAGATCCCACGTGGAGACGCCACACAGGCAGCTAGAGCTCAGAGCAGACGGGGAGGGTAGGGGGAGTGTGTGCGGCCAGGGACTTCGGGGTATTGGGGCTAGAGAATTGCAAAGACCAGCAAAGGGGCTCGGGGAGGAGGGGAACCATGAGAGCTGGCCCCCTAGGCAGGAGGGCTCCAGAGAAGCCCCTGCACTGCCAGGCAGGAGGATGACAGGGGCGAAGGGTGGACCCCACGGTCCCTCTCCTGGGCTCTCCTGCAGGCCGAAGTGGAGGTCAGGAGTGGGGACAGACCCAGAGTTTGTTGTCCTGGGTGCTGATCTCCTGAGTAGGGCCACCCCACCCAGGATCTCCAGGCCCAGGAGGGCTTGCTGGAGGAGGAGGGAATCCAGAAAGGCCTGAAACTGGAGGGAAGCATGTGGGGAGAGTTCAAAGTTCCTCAGAGGCAAGCCTGGACAGTGGGGGGAAGGGAGGCTGAGAAACACCACACAGGCCTTGGTGGGGGAGGCAACACATGGGAGTCCAGGGACCTCTGGGCAGCTGGAGCATCCTGGGAGCCGCAGCGCCGGCCACGGACATGCCCCTCTGTGGGGACATGGGCAGGAGAGGGGGCACGAGATGGACACTGGACAGAGCCTGCTGGACCTCCAGCCCAGAGAACTGAGGAAGGGGAGGTGCCTGCAAAGGATGAAGGAGCAGAAGGAAGACCAGAGGCCCGGGGCAGGGCTGACCCACTTGGCATTTGGTAGCACGGAGGAGGATGAGAGGGTGTGCGGGAGGGGAGGCTGTGAACCTGCGACTGGATGGGGACATCCCGCCCCGGGCCTTCGCCCTGGAAGCTTGTTCACCTGCACTGTTCCTGTGACCCGGCACGGTTGCCTCTGAGCCCCGGGGCGGAGGAGGGAGGAGGGTGATACGTGGGCAGGCTACACTCTGACCGCTGACCGCGCACACTCCCCCCTCCGGGCAGCCTCTTGCCCGGTGAGCGGGCCCTGGGCGAGTCAGCCGGCCCCTTCCTGACCTCAGCTCCGCACAAGGGCTGCTCTAAGACCAGCAGGGCGAATGGGTGCCGCTTACCGCCGGGGTCGCTGCCCGCCCCACGGGAGAGGTGCCAGCCCGCCCTGCCGCCCCCAGGCACCACATCCACTACGTGATCCCTTACGACGGGGACCAGTCGGTGGTGGACGCCTCCGAGAACTACTTCGTGACAGACAACGTCACCAAGCAGGAGATCGACCTCATGTTGGGGCTGCTGCTCGGCTTCTGCATCAGCTGGTTCCTGGTGTGGATGGACGGCGTCCTGCACTGCGCCGTGCGCGCCTGGAGGGCCGGCAGGCGCTACGGTGAGTGAGGGCGGCGGGGGACGCGCGGCCCGGCCCCTGCGTCCCACCCTCCCCTCCGCGTCCCACCCGCCCCGGGCCCCGCCCCGCCGGGCCCTCCCTGGTCACGCCCCCGGCGCCACGCCCCCACCAGAACAGGCCCCTCCGCGCCCTCCCGGGCCCCCCCCAGGCCACGCCCCCACCAGAGCTCCCCCTCGTTCCCTCCCAGGCCACGCCCTCATCGCCACGCCCCCGGGGTGCACGCCTCGCCCTCCCGCCCCACCACAACCCTTTAGGTCACGCCCCCACCGGATCACGTTCCCGCCATGGCCACGCCCCCACTAATGCCACGCCCATCGCTTCTCACCACGCCCCCTCCCACACCGTGCCTCCGCTCGACCACGCCTCCAACACCGACCCGCCCACGCCTTTGCTTGGCCGCGCTCCCCACCTACCGCGCCCCGCCCACGCCTCCGCCCTGACCTCGTCCTGACCGCGCTCCCGCCCCGCAGACGGCTCGTGGACCTGGCTGCCCAAGCTTTGCAGCCTGCGGGAGCTGGGCCGGCGGCCGCACAGACCCTTCGAGGAGGCGGCCGGCAACATGGTGCACGTGAAGCAGAAACTCTACCACAACGGCCACCCGAGCCCGCGGCACCTCTGAGCCGCGCGCAAGACTCGCGGGGCCTTCGGCCAACGCGCCCACGCACACGGGACTGGACGGCCGCCCCGGGCCAGGGCGCCCGCGGCCGCCGGGCGTGTCCAGCGGAAGGTGCTGTCTCCTCTTCTTTTTATAAAGGGGGTTGGGGCGGGGCAGGCCGCCGGCCTGGGGGGAGGACCCCGGCCTCCCGGGCCGGACAGGGCGCGGGGATCAGGGCGGCGGGCCCTGAGCGAGGGCGGGCGGGGGGCATGGGCACCTGTGCCGGCGGCCGGGACCACCTGCTCGCCCCCGCGCACTACAGTCTCACCCGCACCTGGGCTGAGACCATGTCTGTTACTTAAACCCGGCTATTTCCTGTGCGCCCGGCTGCTTCTCGGGACCAGTTCTGGCGGAGGGAAGCGAGGCCGGGAGAGGAGAGGGTCTTGGCAGGGAAGGGTCCGGCCCCCGGCCGCGCCCACGTCTGCACACGGGAGCATGTGCATGGGGCGTGTGCGTCCGCGGGCCGCAAAGGGGGTGGGGGGCGGGGGGCAGGGGTCTGGTGGAGGCCCCGGCCTAGCAGCAATAAGGCCCCCGAGCCCCACTGTGGCAAGTGCGGCCACCCTGCCCAGGGCATCCCCGGTCGGGTGCCTCACTGTGACCCCCCACCCCTGCTGGTCAGTAAATTCTCCAGAAAGCTCCCGTCTCTGCCTCTTCTTTCATCTCTGAACCTGTGACCCCTTCAAGCCCCTGCCCCTTGAATCAGCCATGAGATACACACATTGTGAGGTATCCTTTCAAGTTTTTATTGGATTCTGGATAAAAAGACCCCAACTCCAATGGATGGAGGGCCACAGATCCTGTGGGCTAGGACAGCGCCCCCAGCACTGGACATTCCTAGCCAGTGGGCCTCTGGCCCTTCAGGCACCACCACCAGTCCTTGGCAGCTAGTTCTTACCCTCTGGGTGTATCACAGTCAAATGTATGCAGGGCATCTCCCTCTTCCTAGTTCTGGGGGGCGGCAGGGGAAGCAGCTCCCACCCAGCAGCACAGGGGCCTGCCTCTGCTCAGCCCTCACTTGCTGGGTGAGACTGGGCAAGGTCAGGCCCCTACCCATGGCCAGCCCCCCCTCTGGACACAGATACAGCAGCGGGCCACAAGAGCTTAGCCAGCCCCTGAGAACCCGCAGTACCAGCTGGACCACTGTCCCTGCACATGGGGTCAAGTGCTTCTCCCCAGCACTGGGCCTGGCTTAGAGACTCACATCTCCCAGTAGTGTCCTGGGGGTCAGGTGATGGCCCCAGTCTGGACCACCCAGCAAGCACCACAGACTGAAGGGAAAAGCCTGGCCTACAGAGGAGCCAACCCTACCACAAAGACACTACAACTGCAGTTGGTCCCAAGCAGAGGCCTTTAATGCTGTCCTGGCCCTGACTGAGGAATATTTAAAAATGCTGAGGTGGGCAGCTGTGTAGGCCCATCACTGGGGGAAGTGGGCATCTTGGTGCTTCTTCCTGGCAGGGCCACCTGGCCAATGTGCCCCCTGGGTATCCAGGCCCAGCTCACTCAGCCTGTGTACTTGGGAGCAGGGGCTGGTCACCCTTAGGCCTGGGTCCCTCAGCCTTCAGCCACTGCATCTTCTGCTGGTGCTGCTGGATGGCATCCTGGACCCGGGCATCCATCATGGCCTCAGTGAGGACCCCATCCTCAGAGGCATACGCCATGGCCTGGCAGGGAAAGAGAACACTGATGCAGGGCATGCAGAGGGGCTACCTGCAGGGGAAAAGGGTCTCCCAGCCCCAGGCTTTCAGCCCCTGGGCCCCACAAGTCACCAGGAGCCACCCACCTGCAGGACAGGGCCAGACCCAGGGATAAGCCAGCCTAGCGGGCCCCACCCATGAGCTCGCCTCTTGGAGATGCCCTCCAGAACCTGAAGGGGTGGCGGCGAAGACTGGGATGTTGAGTCCACTAAGAGGATTGCTGGCCCATACCCTCTACCACAGACCTGTGCTCAGTCTCAGGAGGGGCGTGGCCTCCCAGCAGAACACACACATGCCAACATGCCAACAGAACATGCTCTGCTCCCCTGTGTGTGCAGGAGTGTCCGCACATGCATGCGTGCTTACAAGGGAATCCACAGCCCATGGCAGCCACCATCCCTGCAATGCCCATGGCCCTGCCCACATCCCCAGTTGGCACGAGTGCCATGTTCTCACAGCACTGAGTTTCTCAATGACTTTCTAAAAATAGAGAGTCTGAGACCAGCTGTCAGGAAGCAGCTCGGCACCCCCAACGCAGACCTGGAAGGCCCCTAATTCACAGAGAGCAAAACTACCCTCAGGGCCAGGGCACAGATAACAGAACCACCCCAGGCTGGGGGTGGGGGTGGGGGGCAGGTCCATCTGACACTGAGGGGAGAGCAGGACCCCTAGGAAGAGAGCTCCCTAGGAGCCCCCAGCAATTCTAACTTGGTCAGAAAGTAACCCACTAGGCCCAACTGCCCCTGAACGCTCAGCACCCAAAGCAGCTGGAAGGTTCCCTGGTAGGAAGGTAGAGGGAGTGCAGGATCCCCTTTCAGAATCCCACAGCATTTGAGCAGACATGTCTGCCCAAGGGGGCCAGGATCCCTATTGCGGGATGGCTGGACTTAGCAATGGGCTTCCAAAGAAATGAGGAAAGGGGAAACCAGTAACTTTACCATGGAGACACCTGGCGGGCACCACCTTAACCAGGTCAACATCCCTGTGATGTACGGACGTCACGTGTCCCCTGTCAGGACGTGACCAGAAGGGCACCTCATCTCTGGGGTCTTCTCCCAAAACCCACAATCTCAGTCTAACTGTGAGAAAAACATCAGAAGGACAATCTCTGTAACACCTGACCAGCACTCCTCAAAACTGCCAGGATCATCAAAAACAAGAGACATGTGAAAACTGTCACAGCCCAGAGGAGCCCAAGCAGACATGGCAACTGAACGAGATGGGGGACTTTGGAAGGAGTCCTGGAAAACATCAGGTCCGAGGTGGAATCCACAGTGACGTGGCAAATGTGCCCAGTGAGAGGAGTCACACCACGGTGGGGGAAGCTCCATGCTATCCTTGCAACTTTCCTGTGAGCGTGCAATTACTGAAACATAGGAAACTTCACTAAAAAAAAAAAAAAAGGCAAGCCCTGGACTCAAGGATGATGCTTACAGGAAAATTAATCAACATGATGCACCATGTTAATAGAATGAAAGACAAAACCACACGATCATCTCAATTGATGCAGAAAATGGCAGTTGCAAAATTCAACACCCTTTCTTGGTGAAACACTCAATAAACTAGGGATGGAGGAAAATGTCCTTAACGTTCTAAAGGTCATTTATGAACAACCCACAGCAAATATATTATCAATGGTGAAAGACTAAGAGCTTTTCCTCCAAGGTAAGGAAGAAGTCAGGGATGTCCACTCTCACCACTACTACTCAACACAGTAGTGGAAGTCCTAACCAGAGCAATTAGGCAAGAAAAAGAAATAAAAGGGATTCAAATTGGCAGGGAAGCAGTAAAATTATCTGTTTGAGGATGATATATTCTTTTTTTTTTAAAGATTTTATTTAGTTATTTGACAGACAGCGAGAGAGGGAACACAAGCAGGGGGAGTAGGAGAGGGAGAAGCAGGCTTCCCGTGGAGCAAGGAGCCTGATGTGGGGCTTGATCCCAGGACCCTGAGATCATGACCTGAGCCAAGGCAGTCGCTTAACCAACTGAGCCACCCAGGTGCCCCAAAGATGATATATATTCTTATATGTAGTAAACCCTAAAAATTCCCCTCAAAAGTTAAAACTAATAAACTAAGGGTGCCTGGGTCGTTCAGTTGGTTAAGTGTCTGACTCTTGATCTCAGGTCACGTCTTGATCTCAGGGTTGTGAGTAAAAAATAAAGCTAATAAGCAAATTCAGCAAATTTACAGGATACAAAATTAACACACAAAAATCATTTGTGTTTTGGGGCGCCTGGGTAGCTCAGTCAGTTAAGCATCTGCCTTTGGCTCAGGTCATGATCTCCAGGTCCTGGGATTGAACCCCGCGTCGGACTCCCTGCTCATTGGGGAGTCTGCTTCTCCCTCTGCCTCTGCTGCTCCCTGTGCTTGTGTGCACGCATGCTCTCGCTCTCTCGCTCTCTAATGAATAAGATCTTAAAAACAAAAAACCATTTGTGTTTCTATATGGTAATAATGAACCATCTGAAAAGGAAATTAAATTAAGAAAATTCCATTTATAATAGCATCAGAAAAAAAAAATACTTAGGAATTAACTTAACCAAGGCCAAAAAGTTCTACACTAAGAACTACAGAATACTGCTGAAAGGTATTAAAGATCTCAAAATTAGAAAGATATCCACGTTCATACGCTGGAAGACTTAAACTTATTATGATATCAATACCATCCAAAGTGATGTACAGATTCACTGCAATCTCTATCAAAAATCCCAATGATGTTTTTTGCAAAAATAAAAAAAAAATCCATCCTAAAATTCACATAGAATCTCAAGGGAGGCCAAAGAGCCAAAACAGTCTTGGATAAGAAGATTTTCAGGTCTCACATTTCTTGAGTTTAAAATCTACTACAAAGCTACAGTAACAAAATCAATGTACTGGCGTAGGGCAGTTATACAGACCGATGGGGTAGAACAGAGAGCCTAGAAACCCTCACATGTGTGGTCGGATGATTTCCAACAAGGATGCCAAGACCACTCAATGGGGAGAGGACGGTCTTTTCAAACAATGGTGTTCGGAACACTGGGTATCCACATGCAAAAAAGAATGAAGGTGGACCCCTACCCCATACCACACACAAAACTTAACTAAAAATGAATCACACCAGGGCGCCTGGGTGGCTCAGTCGTTAAGCGTCTGCCTTCGGCTCAGGTCATGATCCCAGGGTCCTGGGATCGAGCCCTGCATCCGGCTCCCTGCTCAGCGGGGGGTCTGCTTCTCCCTCTCCCTCTGCCCTGCCCCCAAACCCTGCCACTCGTGCTCTCTTGCTCTTGCTCACTCTCACTCTCAAATAAAATTTAA